CTTTACCAACAAGCCTCACCCATGATGTTTATTCAAAGTTGAACTTTTTATTTAGTATTTAGCATTTACCTGTGGACTAATCAGAGGCGGCCTATCGAATTTGGGAATAAAGAGTATTGTAACGGCAGAAGTTTCATCAATGCCTGCATGTAAGTAGTTGTCAGAATATTCATTTATTAGCTCACTTGGTAACTTTCCTTACAGATTTCATCCCTGTGTAAGCATTTATCAGGGTAGGATTACTTTGAAGCTGCTGGGCCATAGGTGTCAGTATGAACTTCAGGACTGTCACTAAATGCTTTAGTGTTTAGAAAATACTTCCTCAGAAGTACTGAGTGAAAAGCAAAACTCAACAATTATGTCTCTGATGCTCCACAATGTAAATATAAGGATGAACATCCAGAAGGCTGTTTGAACAAGCGAAGATAGAAGCAACTAGATAGATGCTCTTTACAGAAGTCATTAAGGAAGTTAGTAAGGGGAGTCCATTGTAGCTACCCAAGCTACGTTCAAGTTGGATTAAAAAATTCCCACAGAATTTGCACAAATTTTAAATTCAGCTTACAAAACTGTTGTGATGTGGCACAGGGATCAACTTAAAAGAAAAAAAAAGAGAAAAGAAAGAAAAAGCTGCTCAGCTGGAGTTAAATTTAAAGGCTGTATTTAAATAATGGCAAGATTATTCATAATTAAACCATAAGTTCATAGAGAATGAAATTTTCATTACTGTTTATTTTAACAAACTGATTACAGGAAAATAATGATGGAAAAATAACTCAAATTGTGATACCTTGATCTGATTTTGTGCCTTTTTTTTTTTTTTTTTGCAGGTAAATTTCAGGTGATGATACAGAAGATGTAGAGCATATTCAAGCCTGGGTACCTACCTTAAAAATCTTGTGTGTGGATTCAGTATCTTGGTTCAGCTTTGTATGTAGCTTGTAAATTATAGCAGTGTGCAGCACAGTTCCGGAATACATAATAAATACTGATCAAAATAATTTAACACTATCTTTGTATCTTAGTATGAAATTTTTTCTATGCCAAGGTATTAATGCCTACATGGTAAAAACTCTTTACTCGGAGGTTTTCCACAAAATATTTCCATTAGCAAACCAGCACATATGGAAGACCAGAGGTATGTTTTGAAGACAGAGTAAAAGACTGACCAAGACTAAAACTGGAATAAATAAACATGTTTTGTGTCACCTAACACGAATGCCCAGCTGCTCCCTTTCCCTGTTCACACTGGGCTGTGGGGCAGCCGTTGCTTTTGTGTCACTCTGGGGCAGCCATTGGCACATGAGCCATCAGCCTTCGTTACGGGTGTGCAGGGGAGGCCTAGTGCCTTTGGAGGAATGAAATGGGGCGGTAGAGAAGAATATTTCTACATAGTTAAACACTTTCTATGTCAGAATAATTTTACAGCTAAGGTCATCTACACTGGCCAAAGACAGAAATTTGGTTTAGCTTGTTGCACATAAACTCAGTGTTAACATAATTGTTTTTAATTGCTAGCTACAAGTCACTTCTGTAATGAGTGTGTGCAGGAAGATGATTAGGCCTGCAAGAAGCTATAAAGACATCACCAAGACTCTTGAGGACATTGGGGTTTGCTAGATACTACTTGTTACAAGATCTGCGTAGCAGTACGTACCTTGCTGTAGGTAAGCACAAAGTATCTTGTTAAAACTTTTAATGAATTTTGCTGTAAGGCTTTTCTGTTGGCTTTATACTTTCAAATGAATCATAATAGAAACTTAAGAGTTTATTCAGAAGTGTGAGAATGCTTTGTGCTAGAGATTCAGTTTCTACGTTGAGAGCAGTAAATAACGGGCTAAATATAAAAGCTGGACATGTTAAAATAGCACTTTTGATTGTTACAACTACCTTCTGTGCTGGGAGGAGCGTTCATTGTCTAGTTGCATAGTGGGTGAGAACAGTGGAAGCTGTTCTTCCCTAAGCTCTAGCAAAGGTCTGAAGTTTGTAGTGGATCAAGCCTTTTCTAGATAGTTGTTGCAAGCTGGCAAGCTACAGATCACACACATGATAACCAGGGGTTTATTATTCTTGAGCTTAAGATGTGACTTAATTCTGCTTTTTTTCAGGTACTGTGAATACTAGTTCAGATTAGTTGTAGCTGAATAACTTGAGAGTTCTAGAAAATGCCTAGAGCAGAACTCAAACTAGCAGCGTGCTGTCCCATGGTTTATAGAATTAGCAAAGATGAAAGGAACTACAGTAACATGGGACTCAGTGGGGATCAGCTGATCCAACTGATTGGAGATGCTGAATTCTTACACTGGTAGCTTATAGGAAGGCTGTGGTGGTTGTTGTTCACCTTTAGAACTCAAACATGTTTGAAAATGCAGGGCCAGAGGATAAGCTAACTAGTATTCTTGCGTTTAATGATCTCTTCAGTTGCCAACTTATCCCGTTTTCAACATGTTGAAAATGGTATTGAAGAGACTAGAAATAATTTGCACTAGATGGCTAATAGATGGACTTTAAATGTCATCACATTTTAAGCATCTGCTTTGTGGTAGGCATTCAGGATCAACACAGAGAATCATTGTTACTTGTGTCTCCAGAATTAAAACTCCAGTTGTGGCTGTAATTCACGTTGATATTTCACTTAATAGTTACGATGACCATTCCAGATGCAAAAGTACCAATCATCTGAAGATGTATTAGAGGTTTATCAATAACTGGTTGTGGGTGATAATTATTTTTAGTAATGATCAGAGGCACATAAATTCTACAATATACAGAAAGCAGGTAACAGTTAATAGTGTGTGTCAATTTGTTGCTATCAGCAGAATTCATGGTTCCTTTAACATGGATTTTTAATTGTTGAAGATAGTTAAAACCAGAGGGAGTCACATACGTATCAAGCAGATCCTCATACTCTTGGCAAAGCAATCTATGTCAAATATAGAAGTATTTGTCAAGACACCATATAGAAAATAAATTTGGTAATTTTGATTAATAAATGCTTCTATTAAAAGCACTGAATATAGCTGTGTAATTTTCACTGGTTTCTGCAACAGTTTACTAAAAAACAAGGGTATTACTACTCAGGAAGTAGTAGTGTTTATGTTTTACTAAAATAATTGTTTTAGTAGCTTATTGGCTATAGTCAACTACGTAGCAGCGTTAAGCTCAGGAATGAAAGCTTGGAAAAACACACTTCAGTCCTAGTTGTGCAGATTTCTGTAGTAAGGCTGCTGTTGAATAGTTTGAAGAATGAGAAAAGCCACAGTGTTTAAGAACACTCTTTAAAATGCTTCAGTTTTATTAAAAAAGCCCTCAATGGGTGTGTGTTGGGTAAAGAACAATAATTTCTAATGTAACCTCAGTCTTCACGTAATAGAAGTGTCCACAGGATTACACAGATGGTAGGAATTTCTAACCAAGCATGTAGCTTAGAGAGACAGTAGCTTGAGAGAGGATGCCAGGTACTTCACTGACCATTTTACGATGATGATGATACCAGAGACACTGATAATCTGATGCTAAAGCTCAGCTGAAGTTTCCCATAGGCGTCCCAAATACATAACTGTGAGGGTGTTCTGAAGGGGCTGTTAGTATATCAGGTCTGAACAGTTGTTACCTCTGATGATGCTGTTCGTACTATGGCAATGCAAAATACTTGACATTCTCAAAACAGTCTAGGAAGGCTCATCGGCCAAGTCACGCTGATCAAAGTACCTGGTGGAGAGAAGTGGAATATGGTAAGAAACTTCCAATGCAACTTACTCCTTCCTGTTGTTAGACTTCTTGCTTTCTGGCTCTTTTAGTATTTCTATCATAATTATAGCTTTGCAGTTCAGGGACTCATCTAAGGAACCAATAAGCTTATTTTACTCTTTACTTTGTAGGCCCAGAGTACTTTAATTGACGTCTACTTTAAAAGAATCTAGGTTAGGACAAGAGCAATCACACATTCATTCTGGGTATACTCTACTATTTTAGATATCTAAGTTGCATTACCTGCTAACTAAGCAAATCATCAAGTTCAGAGCTGATATCTGTTCTTCATTCCTGTTCTCCTAAAAGAAAAATGAATATTAGAACGGTTCTTTTATTACCTGTGTCAAACAAAAAAGCTGTAACATGCTTGTAGTCTTCCCTTCATTCTTGGGCAAACTTAAGACATGAAAAAATTACTTTACAAAACTTTAAGAATTGAAAAATCCTCCTAATAATTTGTTAAGTTTAGCAAGTCCTTTGCACAATCTTATATTAAATCTTACCTCTAGTACTCTGACTTCTGAGCATCGTCTTGCCAGCTGTCGAATAAGGGAGTGAGCTTCAGGTAGCAAAGGTTTTTCAAGGCATGCCAACAGTGCATAAAGCCATCTACCCTGTGTGGATTCAAATAACAAAGTTTTCATTATGAGCATTTCCTTGAAGTTGTATGCAGTTCTTGTTATATAGAACAGGCCTGGTCTCAAAACAAAATTGCATTTAAGTGCTACTGCCAGGATTAAGTTTGAAAGCTGAATTAGACATCACACAGTAGAATTTTTGCCTCCAGATAAGCTTCTTGGGAGCAGTACTCCTGGATTTCTGGTATTTTTGGAATACTGGCCAAGAGACAAATTAATATAGTTTACACAATTAAAGCCTGAGGGAAGGATTATTTTGGTAATACCTAAAGGTTATTACTTAGCTATTAATTTTTAACTTGACAAACTGGAAAGAGAGTGAATACTGTTAGATCAGCTTTAAGATTTTCACCACTGTGAAAATTCCCTTTGCATTTTACTTCACTGAATTCTACTGCATTCTTACAAATGTAACTTCTGTTACCAGTCTTAACTTCTTAATTTAATTCAGTGTTTAGTGGCTTTCATTATGGGACTGAACTAATGTCAATGTGCACATTCTCTGCAGCATATTAGTTAGAAAGAAACAGTCCTTCAGAACAGGACAGAACACAGAAGGCCTGTAAGTAACTAAAAAATAGTGAAACTGTGTTCAATACCATGGAAGCAGTTTTTCATTACTCTTTAGCTTTGTGGTACTGACGGAGATGAGATGCATCCACCAAGGTGTTTTTGTAGACAAGATGCCATTATGCAGCTAGTCAGTCTAGTTGTGGCCAAACTCCATGCTAACGTACCCTGGCAATCAGAATTTCTTGGTAGGTTTGATTTGTCACCGCACTAACTCAGCTGAGCTTTCTGGTCTGTGCTGATTAAACGTGTCTTTCCCAGCACACTGTCACGCATCTCTAAACTGAAACGGAGGTGCTGGTAAATAGCGTGCAACACCCTGACAGCTTAAACAGGTCAGAACCAAAGCTGCTGCAGTCTGACCCTCCTCTGCCACTAACCGTGAGGTTTAAGTTAGTGTGGGGAGCAATGAGAGGGGAGGGGGTTTTGGCAATACCTGATAGATTTGTATCTGTTACGTTTTGTAATCAGCCTTCCAAAGAATTCTGTGAATACTCATTTTAGTATCTAATCAATAAGGTTTTGAAAGTAACTGCATATGATACATCCATCTAGAAAACTCTTCAGAAATGAAAGTAACAATAGAAAACTATGAACAATTGATTCCTTGTTTAATGTATTCATGTGCAAGTAGTTAGAATAATTAAAAATTACCAGTTCTGGAGTAAATTTTTTCTCACCAAACCAGCTTATCAGGTATTCTAAGACACTGGTTACTGTTGCCTTCATAAGAGAACAGAAAGAGACAATGTAATACCTACAACGTTTTGTTGTGCTGTCCTTCTACCTGAAGGATTATATTATAAAAAAAACAATGTTATTTATAAAATATATATACAATGCATTTCTACTCCACTGTGGTACTATATGGTATTTATTCCAGGTTGAAGTTGCATGTAAGAGTAAAGTAACTGTTGAAGCACCAATTCCTGGAAAGAACTTTTTATCAAATGAAGTAATTTTTGGTGTTAACAGAAAGTTAAGGATAAGTACAGATTAGGAAAGAGGCTCACACTGACTGGTTGTTTCTGTATAAAGGTCACTAGTGGGGAACATTGTAGTAAAGGAAAGGTACGTGTGATTCTTCTAATTAAGTGTTCTATAGAGAAATTACAAGGACATAATACTCTTAAAACCAGTCATGATAAATGTTCAGTAGTCAAGTTGTTTCTGGCTGAAGGTGAAATAGTGATTACATGTTTTCCTTTTAAGTGTACAGTGAATAGCAATTGTAATAAACACTTGCCTACTCTAGCACAGAAAAATAGGTAAGACTCCTGCAATAGATAGGAGAAATAAGAACGGTTGCAATATCACTGCGATTCTAAGAGGTAGGCTTACCTGATTCATTCTGCTTACAATACTTAGCAAAGGGGGAAAGCCCACCTGAAAAAAAAAATCAAGTTGGAAAAGGCACAGTATCATAAAGACTTTTTTTCTAATTTAGAATGTACTAACATTTTAATGTGATGCGCACACACTTGTAGTGATTTGAAAGTCTGTTCTGAGCTTTGATATCTATCTTAAAAAAAAGATCAAGGTCTAGTCAAATCTGGTATCAAAGAATCTTGCTTTTACTGTTATTTGTTAAAGTTTTGTTTTCTCAAAATGTTGCAGTGAAAGGCATGTTTGTAGGATAAGTGTGTATGAGGAGGGGAACCACATATCGCTGTTCAACAAAACACTAAAACAAGACACTGCATAAAGCTTTCTGGTCAGTCCAGTGAGCAACAAAATACTGTGCTTGAGCTGACAACAGATGGATCACAGAATCATAGAATGGCCTGGGCTGGAAGGGACCTTCGAGATCATTTAATCCAACCTCCCCATCGTGGGTAGGGACGCCTCCCAACTAGATCAGGCAACACATGGGGACCGAACGGGGAACTCTTCAGCTTTTTGATTGAAGGGATAGACTTGTTCTTTGCCTCACTCAGCTTCCACTTAAAAGGGAAGAAAAATGTGACTTTTTTGGTTCACCAGGGAGCCTACTTTCTATTTAGCACAAAGTAGTAATAGACAGTAGGATTGTTTCTGGCAGTTACCCTTGAAAATAGCAGCTGAAAATGAGACATAAGTCCTACTCACCTTTATGTAATCAATTCCTAGATTTTCGTTATCACATAGTACATCTATTTCTGAGTATATTCTTTCACCCAGGCAGAATTTCTTCCAGCCTTCTTCATCCTCTGATTTTGGCTGAAGTAAATAAAAATAAATGAAAGTGTGAAATACTGCTATCTTGAAGACACTGAATAAAAGGCTTGCTAATATTTGTAAGCTGTTGCACTGAACTGTAAGGCAAGAGGAACCATGGATTTAACAACTGGAGAAAAAAACCACACAGCACTGCTATAAATTCTACTCACCATCGTAACATTGCTGTCCAGATGTTGTGACCGCCAGTGATTTCTGTGCTTGTTCAGGCTCTGAGTAATTAAAACAAAGCCAAATCACAACTTAACTTTGCAGTTACTTTATCCTAGCCAAGTTTGCTCTTCATTATTCTTAAAACATACCAAAAGTATATATGTTCTATAAATCAGCAGAGGCATAACTGGCTAAATATTTCCCATGCTTCTTAGTATAAATGAACTAAGTTGGGTTTTGGGAAGTAATGTTAAAGCTTAAAGAATCTTAAAGTCTACTGCATAAAATTAGGTTGAAGGTAGTAAGCTTTAACAGTCTTCTGGACTTTTCTTGGTATAACAAACTTAAAAAAAATATTTAATCCAAAAGCAGACATAAAGGCCATATCCTGTTTCCAACAATCGTCTGTGTCTGTATCAGATGTTTACAGAACTGGTAGAAAGAAGGCGAGCATGCTTTCCCAGTATTATTTCTTCTACCTATATGACAAATTAATTGGCCTGCTTGACAGTGTGTAAACTTTTTGTAACAGAAGAATTTTTTCCCCCAATCTAGTGGTTACTATAACAGTAAAAATCACCGCTACAAACACTGCAAGCAACAGTAGCTGATACAGTGTTTGAAAACGTGACTGCTGATGCTTTTTTCTCTTAAATATCTTTTAGGATATTCTCATACTTCACAGTGTTAATTCTGGCACCGATGGGAGGAAAACTGACTTGTGAATAAAAGAAACATCTATACAGTGAATATACCTCTAGATGTCAGTTTCCTTAATTCTGCTAAAACTTTAGATTATGCCTTGTATACAGTATGCGGTGTGATACCTTGTAGAAATAGGGGCTAGCTGAGTTAATATTTACACTGTATATGTAGTAGTACAGATCTACACCTTTACTGATTTACCTCTGAAAAAAATGGATAAATGAGCTTATGCAAAATTCAGTGCTACAGCAGCTGCTTACACTTCAGGTACTTGACATGCTGCATTGTAAACATGCGTTCGGCAGTACTGGAGTCACAACTGATCTCTACCTACAACTTTATTATGTTTTGGATTTCACCCCATTTGAACTGTGGGGAGAAAGAGAGACTACACAATTCTCTATTTTTGTTCTGTTATTTAAGAGCAAATGTGGTAGGAAAGACTTAAGTCTGTGCTAACATTGCAACCTTACAAATACATTTTGCCAAATCAGTATTTCTCATAATGGGTGCCACCACTGTTAGTGGACAGCATGTTTCATATACAGGAATTAGAATCCATCTGTTTTTTTCAGTTAATAGTGATCCAGCTCTGGCAAGAGGGCTGGACTAGATGATCTTTTGAGGCCCCTTCCAACCCCTAACATTCTGTGATTCTGCAGA